AGGGAAACCTAGAAGCATTTCCACCTCATCAGGTTCAAGTGGAGCAACTTTATTCCTTCCAACCCATACTAGATTCCATTTTCAGCACTCATCAAGAACATACTTCTAAACACTCGAATGTGGCTCATTGTCATAAGCTTCAAGAGCCTTACAGATCCTTTCTGTCAATTTGGCACTTCCTGTACATGTTTATAAATAGTTCAACTTTGTTCTTGGATTCCAGGAAGGCCATCATTTCTTTGTTAATGGAAAAGCATCAGCACATGGAGGAAGCATAATAAGAGAAAATATGTGCTTAATTGGCAGAATTATGAATATAGCCCTTTTTAGTGTAGTAGCATAAAAATGCTTCGAATCTACAAATTCTGGCTCTACATCGAATAAGTACTGTGATATCCCAGTCCAAACATTAACTGGAACAAATACAATGTGCTCATAGTATCTTCTGGAAGTGTTCTTTGAGTTATCTGATCTGGTTTGGTAAAACCAATCATTGAATTTGAAAGATGAATGTGCTCATAGCATCTTCTGGAAGTGTTCTTTGAGTTATCTGATCTGGTTTGGTATGAACCCTAAAAAACCAATCATTAAATTTGAAAGATGAATGTGTTAATAGCATCTTCTGAAAGTGTTCTTTGAGTTATCTGATCTGGTTTGGTATGAAACCACAAAACCAATCATTGGATATTAAAAGATGAATGTGCTCATAGCATCTTCTGGAAGTGTTCTTTGAGTTATCTGATCTGGTTTGGTATGAACCACAGAACCAGTTATTGAATTTAGAAGATGAATGTGCTCATAGCATCTTCTGGAAGTGTTCTTTGAGTTATCTGATCTGGTTTGGTATAAAACCACAAAACCAATCATTGGAATTTGAAAGATGAATGTGCTCATAGCATCTTCTGGAAGTGTTCTTTGAGTTATCTGATCTGGTTTGGTATGAACCACAGAACCAGTTATTGAATTTAGAAGATGAATGTGCTCATAGCATCTTCTGGAAGTGTTCTTTGAGTTATCTGATCTGGTTTGGTATGAACCACAGAACCAGTTATTGATTTTGAAAGATGAATATGCTAATAGCATCTTCTGGAAGTGTTCTTTAAGTTATCTGATTTGGTTTGATATAAAACGCAGAACCAATCATTGGAATTAAAAGATGAATTGCATGATCGTCTTCATTAAGAAGTTTCTTTTCAAGCTTATTTTGCTTATCCCTTTCCCAAAAATCATAGCCCAAGTTTTGCCTTTTCTTGTAAGTGGGTTCATCGCATAATGGCTTCCCATCTTTTACCGGGAGAAATGTGTCAGCAGCCTTAGCCATTTGAGCAGCACATATAAAATCTGTCAATTCTGCAATTGATGAATCTGGACCACATCTCTCCATGGCTATTGAAGCTTCAGCCTCTGAGAATCCCATTTTTGTCAAGTATAACAGTTTATTCTCCTCATCAGAATCAGAATTCAAGATTTCTCGGTATTAAAAGAACTATCGATATCTGTGAAATCATCTTGAAAGGTCACTTCATAATCAGATGAGTTGTTATCAGAATCAACATGTTGCATGAATGCAAGCTTTTCAAAAGCCTATACTATTGAGTTTTATTCTCAAGAGGTTTTGTGACATTATATCTACATCTACATTTGTCAAAGATGATAGATTCTTTAATTTGAAGAAGAAAGATCTATTGGGTTTTACAACTGAGGAAATACTCAATTCACCAATCTGAAATCAAATAACTTAACATTCATGCATCATATTTAGGTGTTTGCAAAAATAGGTGCATTTTCATTCATTTTCATCCATGTTGAATTTTTAATAGGAATTTCAAAGATTTTAGAAAAGATTTAAATCCATCATTCAATGGATCAACAGTGTCAGTTAGAGTTCATAATGAGAAGAACTCATCTGAAGAAAGAAGAAGAAGTTCATAATAAGAAGAACTTGTTCAACTTTTGCTTGAATTCATCATTTGATGGATCAGCTTTGCCAGAGAAAGTTCATAATAAGAAGAACTCATCTGAAGAGAGAATAAGAAGTTCATAATAAGAAGAACTTGTTCAACTTTTGCTTGAATTCATCATTTGATGGATCAGCTTTGCCAGAGAAAGTTCATAATAAGAAGAACTCATCTGAAGAAGGAAGAAGAAATTCATAATGAGAAGAATTTGTTCAACTTTTTGCTCAAATCCATCACTTGATGGATTATCTTCTCCAGAAAAAGTTCATAATGAGAAGAACTCATCTGAAGAAGGACGAAGAAGTTCATAATGAAAAGAATTTGTTCAACCTTTTGTTTAAATTCATCATTTGATGGATCAGCATCCCCAGTGAAAGAGTTCATAATGAGAAAAACTCATCTGAAAAAGAAAGAAGAAGTTCATAATAAGAAGAACTTGTTCAACTTTTCGCTCAAATTCATCACTCGATAGATCAACTTTTCAGAAAGAGTTCATCTGAAGAAAGAAGAAGAAGTTCATAATGAGAAGAGCTTGTTCGACCTTTTGCATGACTCTATCATAAAAGGAGATATATCATCATCAGCATTTCCGGAAAGAGTTCACAATGAGAAGAACTCATTTGAAGAAGAAGTTCATAATGAGAAGAGCTTGTTCAACCTTTGCTAGATTACATCACAGAAGGAGATAAATTGTCATCCCCAGTGGAAAAGTTCATAATGAGAAGAACCAATCCCAAAGAAGAACTTGTTCAACATTTCCGAGTGAAGATTAAATGGAAAAAAAAAACTTATTGTCTTTTCGTCTTTGCTCTATTCTCGTTAACACAAGAATGAGCAAAGAGGGGCAGCTGAAGACACTAGTTTTTTTATTTGATTATTATTTATATTATTATTATTATTATTATTATATATTATTATTAAATAATAAATAATTTTATTTATTATTACAGGCCCAATTATTAATCCCGGAGCCCAATTTAAAGGCCTGATTACAAAAACCCATGCCCAAATCAGAGAAGCCCAACCGAACCAGCCCAAGTTTGGAAACCCTAAATAGATTAGGGTTCCATCTTCTTCTCCGGCCGCCTTGCTTTTCCACCGTTGGATCTGGCAAGATCCAACGGTCCATAGATCTCCAACCAGAAACCCTAGGGTTATGATAACCCTAGGGACCACGCCACCGCTCCAATGCCAGGTGATCCAACCAGCAACTGCCGACGACTTGCTGCCATGACACCACCTCGCCAGAATGCTCCAGAAGCGCCACGAAGCCACAAACGTTGAAGCCCTATGGTGAGTCACCACCATAGCTATGGTGACTCACCGAAGCTTCCCTCTTTGGACTGGTCCGATCCGAGCACTGTGGTGGCTATAAAAAGCCATCACCAAACCTGAAAAAAGAGGACAAGGAGGAAGAATCGGAGATAACCAAAACAGAGGGGCAACCAACACACAAACAGAAAGCCACAGCAAGAACAGTGAACCAAAAAGATAGCAGAATACGAGAACAAATCGACACCCAATAATCAGAAAGAAGAGGAAAAGGAGCATCTTACCATCATAAAATCTTCCAAACCGTTTGGAACCACCGGAATCGTTGTAAAACCGAAGGTAAAACCTTCGATTTATTTTAGATCTAGAGCGATCTAAAGCGTTTTAGGACAAGTGAAGGACATATTCGGTCGTAGGAGGTTGAGATCTACACTCTAGGGTAATTTGGGAATTCCGGCCACCGTTGGTGGCGGCCGGCGGTGGTAATCTGCGCCGTTGGTGGTGGCCGGTCGGCGACAGAAAACTAGAGAGAGGCGAGAGAGTCTTTCTTCTCTCTCAGTTAGAGAGAGAAGAGGAAAGATGAAAGTGAAGAAGCTGGCCCTTAAGGGCCGGCCTTAAGGGATTTTTAAACCCTTCCCCAAACGACGTCGTTTTGGGGAAGGGGTATAACTGTAATTTCTCGTGTGGGTAAACTATACCCGCTGCCACCACAGTTTTGTAACTTTATATTTTAGTCACTAAATCAATTTTTAAATTCTTTTAATTCGGTCTTTCGATTTTATTTAGTTTATAATTTAGTCCTAGCCTGAATACTTATATATATTTAGGTTAAATACCGTATTTAGTCCTTATAACTTTAATAATTTTTATTTTGACCTCTAATTAATTAATTAAAGATTAATTACATTAGTAACACCTAGTTTTCATAATATTTCAAACTAGAGCTTTTAATCTTGATATGTCATAATTTAGTCACCAATTTTAATTATAAGTTTTATTACTTTTTATATTTAATTTTAATTTTATTTATTTTACTCATTGTTTATTTATATTTTTAATTTTATATGTTTAAATTATTATTTTCATAATTATTTTATTCATATAAATATATATATCTACATTTTTTTTAAATAATAATGTTTATTTATTTTCAATATCAAAGAAAATGACAGTCTTAAAACAACTGGATGTCCTATTCTGGTATTTTAAATAATTAAACATTATAAAAATTATAATTTAGTTTTATTTAAATTATTAAAAATTTTAATATTTATTTATTTAATATCGAAGAAAAGAGCTATCTTAAGACACCTAGAAGTCATTTTCTGATATTTCTAAATAAATAAATATTTTTATAAATATATTTAAATTAATATATTTTCTTAAAAATTATAGTAATAAAATTTGAAATAATATAATTATAAATTAAATATATTTGAATTTTTTTATTTCTAATAATAGAGACAATTTATAATTAAAAAGTACCAATTTTGGGCGTTGTAGGGGTGCTAATCCTTCCCTACACGTAACCGACCACGAATCCCTTTTTACTATTAAAAAGAACGAATTTTTGGTTAAAACGCATATCAGTTTATCTTTTAACTGATGTTTTCTTAAAAACTCTTTTAAAAGATATTTTTTAGGTATTCGACCTACCTGACCCAAAAGGCCGATGGCGACTCCCAAATTATTTTCAAAACCATTTATTCACATCACTTTTCCCGTCAAATAAGTACAAAATTCGTGCCCGGGCGAAAACCGGTTACGACACTTGTGTTCTCAGAAACAATTGAGCTTGATTTTTTCAAAGACAGTTTTGTGAAAAATGGGTAAGTTTTGTTCTGGTTCAGCATTTTGATTTATCATATCTATGCTCCTACAAATGGTTTCTTGTTCCACACAGTTACAAAGTTGCCGTGGCTATGCCAAACCTTGATGAATTGTTGAAAGATACACCTACCCACGTATTTGCATCCGTGTGTTTTGAATGGAGAAAGACAAAATTTTATGCTACTCATTATAGTGAGCTTGTTTTACTTGCTGCTCTTTACAAGTGAGCTTGCTCATCTATGCACATACTTTTGTGAGGTTTAGGATGCAATTTCGAATTGTGTTATCAATTTGCTGCCATAATTGTTTTAATAGTCTGTTATGTAACAAACTTCACTTGGTAGACTGCTACCTTTTAGCTTCAATGTTAACACCCTTTGTTGTCCTTGTGCACTTATTCCTGCATGTCTATCTGTTTTGGAGATATGGTGGCATTTATCTTGATTCTGATATTATAGTTCTGAAACCATTATTGGCACTCAATAATTCTGTGGGCCAGGAAGATCAGGGAAGCTCTTTGAATGGGGCGTTAATGGCATTTAGAAAGCATAGGTAAAGGCTGCACTTGGTTCTTATGTTCTCAATAATTGTTTCCAGTTTTTGGTTCTGTTGAAATTACTGTTGATTATGCTTGGATTTTTAAGGTAATACGCACATACATTGATCAGAAAGGTAATACATATGTTTTGTATTAATTCTATAATTACATGGATAGTATTTGTATTTAGAGTACAACTGTAGAAGTTGCTATTTGTCTGAAGACCTTTGGCAGCTTGAGTATTTTGAAGAGTTTTCCTAAATTGCTGACTGTCTTTATCTCAGATATTCATGTTCATTTATTGTTAAAGAAAAAGCTGTTTCTTGTTTCATTTCTTTGAATAACTTTTACAACAGAAAGCTGTACCTTTTTCTATTCCGTGTTTAGGCATGTTCTGATAATTTCTTGGACTCGTATATTTATAGATACCATCTTTCTCTCTAAGTTTTGGGTGGAAGGAATTGTAGGAGAGAGACACTCTCTTTTTTCATAATTTTGCTAGGTTATTGGTTTTTCTTATACCAGCAACTAAATCATTATTGAATTTTTGCATTCTCTTGTGCAGTCCTTTTATAATGGAGTGTTTGAAGGAATTTTATTTGACGTATGATGATACCCAATTGAGAGGGAATGGGGCTGATCTTCTATCGAGGGTTGCAAAAAGGTTTTTAAACAAAAAGAACGTCATATCCATCAAACAGACAGACTTGAATGTGCAACCTTCCTCTGTTTTCTTCCCTATTAGTTCTCGGCATATTACAAGGTTCTCTTTTCATACATATCCCTACTCTTGAAAATGATCTCTTAAATGCATGTGTCTCTCTCTTACAATTTCAACTCACTTTGGGCAATAAACATGTATGCACAAATAAAAATGTATCAAACCCTGTTCATACAAGATGCATGGCTCTTATCATTGTAAAATCCGACTAGTGAAGCATCTCCATGCTCCCCAATTCCAACTTTATATTTTTTCTCCATGGTAATTGATTTAGTTTGCAGTAGTTTGACTGATTGATTTTCTTTTGTAATTATATTTGTTTTGGACATCTGTCTTCCAGTTAAACCTGCTATCTCTTTAAATAAGTAGGGCCTTGGATTTCTCAGGCTAGATTTCTTTTTTTAAGATGAACATTGAGCCATTCAACCATCTCCATTATCTTCAAATCTCTTTAGAATGTTAGGTGTTTCTCTCAGCTTGCCTACCTCTGTTAGAACCTATAATTCCATAGCCTATAAAAGGTATTTCCTATAATAGTGATCCTCGCCGGCACACTAACATCCATTTTTTGTGATCAAATATTTACAGTTTGCATGTGAAAATTTTCTCTAGCTTGTGTTGCGACTCTTTGCATTACACTAGTTACACTTCTTTACATGTGAAGTCTTAAATTCCTCTCCTCTGAAATTACTCATTTGGATCAAAAAACAGATACTTCGTTGCCCCAACGACAGAAACTGAGAAATAGCAGCAAGATGCTTTATTCAACAAGATTCTGACCGAATCTGTAGCATTTCATTTCTGGAACAGTGTGACATCTTCCCTCATTCCAGAGCCAGAGAGTGTCGTAGCCAGGATTATTAACCATTCATGTATTCATTGCTCCGAATTGTTGTGAATTTCACATCTCTCTTCAGCCCTGCCCGAGAATTAATGATGCAATTCTTTTTTAACCCACGGTTGCAAAATGCTTTAATGATATTTCTGGATTTTCGTTGTCATGTTAGAAATTCTCAGGTTGTAAAGTTTCTATATTCTCATTCCTTCAGTTTTGCCGAATGATTGGGCTCCCCAACCAAGTCAAAATCAATATTCTTATGTAATTTACATGCCAACGATGTTCAGTTGATAATGTGCCTTTGGCATTGTGCAAATAGAACACCATCATTTTCAGGGCATGGGAAGCCTAATGAATATAGTAGCTAACCATTGGTTTATTTATTTACCATATCCATTTTTTATCTATCAAAATCTATGCTATTACAATGACTTGCTGCTGATATTCATGTCAGATTTCTCAATAATGCAAGCCAACGCCAAAGTAATGGAAGTTGGTCGGGCATTTCAATTTATAGTGTGCATGATTTCACAGTTGAATTCTGCAAATTTATTTATTTATTCAAACTCTGTTGAAAACGTGAATAATATGTATATAACATGGTGGACAGTGGTTTTCTGTACATCCCTTTTTAGCATGCAAGAAAAGTATAAATGAATTAAACAAGCAAAGGATCACCATCCTGTCGCAGAATTACATACAAAAATTGTCAATATGGCTGCTCCCTCCTTTTATTTTATTGCCGATCAGCCCCTTATGCTTCTAAGTGCCCATCTTTCTTGTTGCCTAGATAGCAAGAAAGAGGCAAAGCTGTTTTACGCGGTACACTTTTAATCCATGGCATTAGGTCCAAAGCATCTTTTCTTTACAGGATTCCATACCCATTGAACCATGAACCTTCTTCCTTTAACTCCATTCAGATTGTAGCTACTCCCAGCTGCATCCGTTGAAACTTGACCCACGTACGCACCACCACCACCTGAACCGTACGTACCTATACACAGGTCGGCGATCTCACCCGGTGCAGTTGGATTATCACCAGCATACCATGCGTTCACCAGTGGGTTAGTCGCAGATTCGGCTAGCTCATGAGCTATAACACTGATCATGCCGTCGACTCCAATGTCCCCATTCGGTGGGTGAATTACGTTGTTACCTCCGTTTGCAGTCGGTGGTGGTGGTGGCATCCCCACGGGCCAGGCAAATGGATAGGCACACATGCCCGGACACTGAGTTCCACTGTAACCAATCCAAGCATAAGGAACTATTACACCAACAGTGGCTGGGAAGGTGAAGTAATGAAAGGCGCAAACCGCCCTGCAGAATTCATCAACCAGGACATCAGCAGAACTTAGCACCAAATAGAAGCCGTTTCGAGGATCGAGAGGCAATGGCTTCGACTGGGAAGTGACGGCACTTTTTATGATGGCTTGCATCGATAAGCGATTGAGACGAGGACCATGGGAAAGTTTGGAATCAAAGAACTCCCCCGAAAGGGTAATGCTATCAGTGACATTTGAACCTGTTTGGTCAGCATAGAGCCTGACAGTGCTCCACCACTCAGCAACAGAAGGGTGAGGAGCTGGAGAAGACAAGGAACTTAGGAAATCCCTTATGGTGTCTTGGTGGGTTTGGTTCCAGTTACCGTACCAGATTATATACAATTTGAGAGGCGATGCAAGGACAGGACCCATGTGGTACTCAAGCTTACCCGGATCCGGAGAACCCCCAGAATTCAGAGCTTGGTTAGACCCAGTGTTTAGATTCCCTGAAAGACACAAATGAAAACAAAAGGATGATAATAGAAGAAGAACATAACAAGAGAGCTTGTCCATTTGTTTGTTGTTTATTTGAATGTTGTAGGTTATTGACATTCAAAAGACAATGCATAGTTCTTATATAAGGAGAAAAAAATGGAGGGTGGTTGGCATTCTTGTTTATTATTTTTCCTGAGGTTATACATAATTTTTTCCGGGTTTCAATCCTATCCGTTATTTTTAAGAATTGCGAAAATAAATATATCGAGCTTTAATTTTCCTTTAATTCTTTTGGCCAATACTATTTTCCTTTATTTCTTTTGCTTTTGAATCCTCTTTAACACTTTATGACTTCATCTACCAGTACCGAGCGAGCAACCCAAAAGATAATCAACTTGAGCCCTTGGATGATATTTTTCATATGTAAATCTGGGTTTTCATAAATGCCTAACTCGGACATCCAATCAAATTCAGGGTTAATTTCAAAGTTTGACATTTGTGATGTGATCAAAACCTTTGATAGTCAAGTCATAAGACAATGACATGTCGAATATCTGCAATGTTTAAAGTGCAGATAGATCCATAACTAGATTGTGATTAGAAAAACGAAACTGGCGGACAATTTAGTTTAATGAGAATTTGTGAAATTTGGTGATAAAAGTAGAATAGTTAAATAATTTAATGACTTATTCGAAATATAATTGAAGGTTGTTTGGTAATTATTGAATGAATTAAAGGGTAAAATGGTCAATTGATAAGTAAGCTTTTTATTTTTCCTTTATAAGATAAGGGAACCACGTGGAAGAAGAGAGAATTCTCCAGAGTTTTCTTTCTTTCTTCTTCCTCCTCCTGTATCTCCAAGCTCAAAGGTGAGTTTCTTTATTTGTTGATTAATTGTTGATTTTAAGGTTGGGTTTTGAACATTAGATGATAATTAAGCTTAAGGAAAGCTTAATTTATCTTAAAATCATAAGATAAAGGAGTCAAGAGAGATTAAAGATTAGAAGTTTTTAAAGGAAATCTTGAATGAAAGTTGATAAGTTAAATTGGAAGTAAAATTTGACTTGTCAAGGATCTAATTAAGAAGTTAGAAGCCATAGAATTGGAATTAAAACATGTTGCAAAGTTGGTATAATTCTTGAGTTACATATGAGGAATAGAATTTTGAAGTTAAAGATGGTTTATATGGATATAAAGTGGTTTAAGCATGTGTATATGAGTTAAGAACATGAAAGGAGATGAAAGATGAAGCATTTGAGTTGATTTGAGTTGATTTTCGGACTGAAAAATGAATTCTGGGCTATGTGCATCGATGCACATTCAATGTGTACCGATGCAACAAGGGTAATTCCAGAAATTGTTCAGTGTGTATCGATGCACAGGAAATGCATCGATGCACCCATTAAAATGGAAACATCGAATGCAATTAGTGCATCGATGCATAAGGAGTGCATCGATGCACCCCCTTAAAATGAAAACATCGAAGGTGATTGGTGTATCGATGCATGGGTAGTGCATCGATGCACATGTTAAAGAATGCATCGACACACTGTAGAATGTATCGATGCACTTCAAGGGACTGTAGAATGTATCGATGCACTAATTTTGTTTATAGAGTTAGTTGGCATGTAGTTACAAGATTTTAAATTGAATATGCTATGATGGTTTTAAAGAAACAATTTGATTGTAATTATTAATGTAAAATACATCATTTTCTTAAATGATGAAATTAAGATTTTAGTGGATTTGTAAAGAATAGAGTTTTGAAAAGTCAATGCGACACCTCAGACTCAGATACAGGTTGGGGGTGTTATATTTAATGGTATCAGAGCTAAGATTTAGCCGATTCTAGGCTTAAACCGAAGTCAAATGAGGTTTAAAAATGTGTACATGCCAACTAAAAGTGAAAAATTCTGATCTGATAGTGTAAGGAGTATGTTGTCTTGCTAATAGAATAAGATTTATATGATATAGTAGGAATTGATTATAGAAATTATCAAAGTAAAGTAAATCGATAGCTGACAAATCTGATGGTGATAACAATTCACTTGCCCTGGTCAGGCAAGATGAAGAGCGGAAACCTCAGAAAATGTCTTATAAGATTAAAGGTTGATTTCAGAAAGTTGAAATCATATTAGAATGGTGATAGAAGATCTTTATTGTTTGAATCGGAAAAGCGATATGGATTAGTTTTGTTAGTATGTGGATAAGATAGAATATGGTGAACAAGTGTCACCATAAGAACGTTAAAAATATCAAATGACGTGGTGAGTACTTATAGAAGAGCTCAATAATAAGTGCATCAGTGACAAGCGTATAAGATGTATAAAGTCAGAGCTTATGAGTTTGAAATGAAGTGATAGTATTGAGCATAAACAAGAGTGTGTTTATGATAAGGGTTTGCAGTTAAGATGGAAAGAGTTAGCGTTGACTAACCAGAGTATGTGATAAAAATGTACTGGAATTATAAGATTATAAGATATTGTAAGGTTATGATAACCAAATATGAAATGGATCTGGATACAGTTGTATATTTGGATCATAGTAATGTGGTATAGTAAATGAAAAGGAAGTAAGGATTTGTATGTTTGAGTAAAGCTAAGGATTGATAAGAAGAGTTTAAGAATGAGTATATCGATGATCAGATTATAAGACAAAGGAAGTCAGAATGTTGAGTTTGAGCAACAGAAATTACAAGATTTATATGATTGGTTGACTAGGGCTTGTGCCCTAGATTGAACAGATGTTATTGACTAGTTGTCAGAGTAAAGGTGATAGAGTTATAAGATCGGAGGAAAATATAAAGTTGAGTTAATTGATTATGATGTGAATCTGAATATAGTTGTGTATTTTGATCAGATAGCTATGATGTAGAAAATGAGATAAGTATTTGCATGGAACCTTAAGGAATGAAAATACAAGTATAAGAAATGATAAAGAATGAAGTTCTATATAAGTAAATGGGTTATCAAAGTTATGAGGATGCAATGAAGATTGGTACATAGAGATGAGTATAGGTGATAAGACAAGAGTATGTGAACATGAAAGGAAATATATGATTTGGGTATAAGAAATAAATAAAGGAATAATAGAATAAAGAAATGAAAGGGATGAGTTAAAGGATCAGATACGATAAAGGTTAGATGGAAGTGTAGATGATAAGTTCGATATAGAAGTACGAAAAGTGTGCAAGGTGATGTGAAAAGATTCTTTAAAGTGTATGTTTAATCATATTTGAAAAAGATTTAAAGTTGTGTTCTTGGTCAAATGATGATGGAAAATGAGTTTGGTTATTTTTATAAGGTAATTAGAAATGGATTTATGAGGTTAAGTGATGAAAATTGATGTTAATGTCTACGTGATTAGTGACTTTATATGAAATTTTAGAAATGGTCAAAGGAAAATGCAGAATAGAATGAGAGAAAAGGCAGAAATTAATTGAAGTTACTGGTTGTTGTTTAAATGATAAGTGATAGTAAATGAATGTATAAAGGAAAAAGTGATATGTTCAGTGAAAATTCGAGGACGAATTTTCTTTAAAGGATGAGAGATTTGTAACATCCCGAAATTCAGGTCAGTGACTAAAATGAGAATTTATGAAATTTGGTGATAAAAGTAGAATAGTTAAATAGTTTTATGACTTATTGGAAATATAGTTGAAGGTTGTTTGGTAATTATTAAATGAATTAAGGGGTAAAATAGTCAATTGACAAGTAAGATTTTTATTTTCCCTTTATAAGATAAGGGAACCACGTGGAAGAGGAGAGAATTCTCCAGAGTTTTCTTTCTTCTTCCTCCTCCCGTATCTCCAAGCTCAAAGGTGAGTTTCTTTGTTTGTTGATTAATTGTTGATTTTAAGGTTCGGTTTTGATCATTAGATGATAATTAAGCTTAAGGAAAGCTTAATTTATCTTAAAACCATAAGATAAATGAGTCAAGAGAGATTAAAGATTAGAAGTTTTTAAAGGAAATCTTGAATGAAAGTTGATAAGTTAAATTTGACTTGTCAAGGGTCTAATTAAGAAGTTAGAAACCATAGAATTGGAATTAAAACATGTTGCAAAGTTGGTATAATTCTTGAGTTACATATGAGGAATAGAATTTTGAAATTAAAGATGGTTTATATGGATATAAAGTGGTTTAAGCATGTGTATATGAGTTAAGAACATGAAAGGGGATGAAAGATGAAGGATTTGAGTGGATTTTCGGGCTTAAAAATGAATTATGGGCTATGTACATCGATGCACATTCAATGTGTATCGATGCATCAAGGGTAATTCCAGAAATTGTTCAGTGTGTATCGATGCACAGGAAGTGCATTGATGCACCCATTAAAATGGAAACATCGAATGCAATTAGTGCATTGATGCATAAGGAGTGCATCGATGCACCCTCTTAAAATGAAAACATCGAAGGTGATTGGTATATCGATGCATGGATAGTGTGTCGATGCACATGTTAAAGAATGCATCGATGCACTGTAGAATGTATTGATGCACTTCAAGGGAAAATAGAATTATACCTTTCTTTTGGTCTAAGAAATGATAGATTAGTATATATAAATTGGATACTGATATGTATCAATGTATGATTATATAGATATCGAGCACGAACAAGTTCCGTAACGATTATCAAGTTAAGATTCGATCGCAAGAGAGGAAATTATAAAAGTGGATCGAAACTTAGTGAGGCCAAGGTGAGTGCATATTAGATAGTGTGTTATGTTTAATGGAAATAAGACTTGCGACAAGTCTATTTCCTATAGTATAATGCATGAACTCATTAATATGAGCATATGTTTGACATGATACATGTGTGTTATTGATTATTGCATATGTTAAATGATATGTGTGAATACAAGTTTATATGATACATGATAAATGTATATAGTATATGTGAACACATGATGATATGAAAAAGGATATAAGAGTATTATGTGATTTATAGAAAACGTATGTGAACAATAAATAGCAATGATATACATGTTATATGATCACAAGAGAAGGGTTATAAGTTACGTGATAGATGCATATGAAATCATATGAGCTTATATGATATATGATATGAAAGTGTACATGTGAAATGATATAAGT